TTTTTGGTCAACAGCATCCTTTCGATAGCCAAAACATTTCCATGATGGGGGGATTGTAGCCAAAATTATAATCATGAATATTTCAACGTATAAAAACATTTTATTGCGTTTTCACATTTAAAATAAACTCGGGTTCACTTACAGGTTGTGCAGTCCTGTTAATATCCAAATGTGCATCAAAAATCACACAATATGTGGTTCTTTTTGCACCTGAATTTCGTGCATCTGCAAAAGGCAAAGCATGTACAACACCAAAACGCCTCACTTCCTGAACATATGCTTTTCAACAGACGCTACAATTTACAAACGTTCCCAAAACGCCTCACAGGCAGGCTCCAGTAGATGCTAGCTAGCTGGCTGTGCACAGAGAAGCCTCGAGTCTCCCCAAATTAGTTACAGCAACTAAAACAGGCGTGTGATCAAAAATAAATCTGGAAAGAGGGAAATAAGACAATTTACTGTCCGATGTTCCCAAGCAAATTTATCGTCGCTGGCTGACACATTTTAACTTTTAATATCGCAGTCAATCATGTTCTTTTAAGACGCCAAAATCGCGATCATGTGTCATATACTATTAGTTGTGCAGCCCCACAACTTTCTTTTTTGCAACAAAATCTTCCTTTTTCTCTGTTCTTCACTCATTTCTTTGCACACACACGGAACCTACATGTTAACGAACGCCGCATCTCCATAAATTAGGTAAAAATGTTTGAGATTTTTGCATCAAGCTGCAAAAAAAAGTTGAACCACAATGCGTTTGAGTTCACACGTCTTTCACACTGCAATGCATGAAAAAAACAGTGTAGGAATGTCGTATTTATATGTCGGTGTCCTTGATTCGGCAAGAAGAAATCGAGAAGATGAGCGATATAAGTGCAGTCGATTTTATTTTTTTCAATGAGAAGTTGCTTCTCATCAACATTCATTAGATCCCAAAAAATGATATCCGGAAATCACTTTGAAAGGATAAATTTCTCCTCCCGAGGAAAAAAAAAAATCCAAAACTTGGCAGTCGGCCAAACTCAGATAGCGGTCAGAGAGCACCTTTATAGCGACTTTAAGTGTAGCCAAAAATAGTACGAGATCCCCAAACGTATTGTCTTTCAAGACGACGCTGAATAAAACATGCATCGGAAGCTTTTCAATTTTCCCGACGTCGATTATCACAATTAAGCCCTCAAAAACTCAGCAGGGCCTTCTAGTGAACACCTAAAATAAAACTTATTTATAAGCTGCTCGCAACCCTCATTAGTTTTCTCGGTTAATTATGTTTGTTACGAGTGGGTAATATGTAATTTTACAACTAGCAGGCTGCTCGCTATCACCGCCATCGTTCCCCGATGAAATATTTTTACAGCGCGTCCCATGAAATGGCTCGAACACCCGGGGAGTCGGATGAGCACGGCGGAATTTGTCAGAACGATGTCCTGGGGGGTGCAGAATTGCCTCACAACGCTGTGGAAAATTCAAAGAGAGGTCACTAAAAAGCTGCTGCCAAACTAGCTTCATCTCTCCCTTCAGGGGGAAGAAAAAAAAAAAAGAGGCAAGGAGGCCGAGGACGCCACGAGAGGAAGGGGGAGAGAATCGGCACGCGTCATAAACTTTGCATGCCGCATAACGGGGGGCCAAAAAAATAAAAAAAATCCAGCACTCGCCAGCTCAGGAGAAGCAATTTATTAAACAAAAGCCACCCTTGACACAGTCTCCCAACCTGTCGTCACTCTCTCTGTCCTCCCTGCCATCACCTCCTTTTTGTTCTCTTTCACCAGACTCCATTCAAAAAAGTGGATAATTAAGGAAGAGATTCTGCACTTTAAAAAAAAAAAGGATAAACAGAGTAAATCAGAACACTGGGAATAATTATGGGGTGAAACATAATGTAATTAGCGGTCTCTGTGGTGACATGCTACAGCCTCCACCATGATGCGTTGGAGGGTGAGATGATTTTTACGCCTCGCATCCCTCAGGCCTCGTGCTTTTATCAACTTTAAACAGCTTAAGTGATAGCTTGCATACAAAATAGCTGGCAGGCCGTTGCCAGAACACCCCCCCTCCTGAGGTGACTACACCGAGGTAATGGAGTTGTCCTGATATGCTTATGTGGATCTCCATGAACAAGCTGACACGCGTATAGCGACTGGGCTGCACAAAGCGACAAAAAATAAATCAGCCTTTTCTCCGGTTTGTCGCTGCTTACTGGCGAGTTACTGGTTTTTAATTGATCAACTTTGACTGAGAACTTTAACACCTCTAAAGAGTCAAACTTGTGGCATCTGCTTGCTGTTCTGACGCCTAAAACTACTTCTACGATCAAATTCTTCTTCGGTAGGCGATGTGCTTTTCCTAAATTAGTTTAAAATTGTGTCACTGCCCCTTTATAGACAACACAGCGGAGTGAACACAGCATGTCTGTGGCTTTTGATTAAGGGGCGTTAGGGTCAGCACAGCTAACACATGTGATGCCGGGCGCCCTCCGATCGCATCGGCCGCAATAAAAAGATCCACTGTTATGATGGCGTGATTATCACCGCGGGTAGCGCCGCTCGCCCTTTCTAGCGTCTGGTATTTCGAATGGTTATGTGCAACGTATATTTTGCAGACTGTTATCGAGGGAAGTTTGTCAAAGCGAGCATATGCCTGGCCTTCGGTGACTCCTTCACGTCGATGCATTTGCACGGACGAGCTGCTGATTCAACTTCAAGGCCACGGCTTTCTAGTTGTAAGCCTAACTCTGCTATTGCACTACATGTACAGTACGATTTCTGTGGTTGAGTGCTGTTAAAATGCGACTTTTATCCGCTGTTGGCATGTTAATACCTGTCCACAATCTGCATGCAGAGCACGCTGAACGGTAATAAATAAGTGCATGGATAGCCCCCTCTAGTGAACATGGAGAAACAAGCTGTGCAGCAGGGCAGACCTGGGTCAGACGTAGAAACGACAGGTTTTAGCTGTGTGTAGCATCAGCAGGGTGGGTTTGCTACGAAGCAGAGAAAGTTTGCAAGAGCGGGAAACTATCTGACAACAATATGAATCTATTATGTAACTGATAACGAAGCCAATGGACTGAACTCTGATCTCATTTCTCCTGAAAAAAAAAAGATCAAAACAAAGAATACCAAACATGACTTGTCTGAGGTGAATCGGCTGTTTGAAATAAGACAGCGCATCTCGACTGGCTTCATTACTCGGATATGGCACTGGATACCAGCACCTCACTTCACTGGAAACAGCAGCTCATAATTAGCTCTCTTCATGCCTCAGGCGGATGTGTGTGTGTCTTTCCATTTGTGCGGATGGTGTGAAAAGAACGATTTGGAATAGCCCTCCCCTTATCGTTTTTTTTTCCCATCCACGTGTAGGTTGGAGCGTTAAATTCGTGCTGAGACGGGACGGTTTGAATGACTGAGTCAGCTACAGGTGGCCAAACAATGCCCGAGCGTTCGCTATCTACTGAACGGTGCGATAAGCTGAGGTCAAATCATTTTTTGAGAGGGGTTCACAGCAATTTGCTCAGCGAGGGAAAGCAAATGACAGTGATGCATCGACAAAAGCACCCTCACTTTTAATCCTTGGCATGCCCTCCCTCTCTCTTAGCCTACTCTACTTCCCTCGCCTTGTTTACTCCAGTTTTACTGAGCCTATTTTTACCCCCTTGCCCAGAGGGCATATTCAAATACAGAGCTGCAACTGGGTGTCTCCCTCTCGACCCGACTGTCTTGCACTCTGTTCACACTGTGCACTCTGTGATCGGAGCAATCTGCTGCTGCATTTCATAATTGGAATAAGAACACACTTTTTAAACATTTTTTTTGTCAGGTTGTCACATCAGTGGGTTGTAACGACAAGTTCACTTTTCCAAGACACCTAAATCCAGAATCCTCAGCTTGCAGATGGCATTATTTTGCATCCAAACATCCTTTCACTGTACCTTGAAGAAGTGGCTACTTTTTAAGAAGTTGCATGTGGCAACCCATTGCAACCATAATCCTCCCCCTGCAGAATCTGCAAAATCTAAAGATGCTGCTTTTTTGTTGTTGTTGTTGTTGTCAAGCCTTGTGTCACTGTGATGAGAGTGTAAGAAACTGAGGGGGCTTGATGGTGGGAGATGTCAAGTTGATTCTTACCGTCGGGGTTGGAACAGATGAAGACCCGGACGCTGCGGCCGGTGGGGACGTGGTGCGGCGGCAGGGCGTTGATGTTGCCGCTGACGGCCGCCCTGCGCAGCGCCGACTCCCGCGGGCAGGGCTGCCTGCTCCCCACTCCCGACGGCCACATGGGAGGCGACTTCCAGCGTGGCTGTACACACACGCACAAGAAACGCACAGAAGGGGAGGGGGGGGGAGGAGGGCACGTTAGCGCGGCCAAGGGGGGCGCACACATGGACATGGATGTTTGCGCGCAGATTCCCCTCTGATCCATTCACGCACACACAACCGGGGCGTTAATTGTGGCAAAAGGCATGGAGCTGCATCTAATAGGTTTTTAATTTCACTTGCACTGATGAGAGGGCAAAAATAACGCTGAGGGCTTGAAATAAATTTGGGTTAAAACAAGTTATTATCACTTAAAATGCAATAAAATCTTAAAGATAAATGCAAGTCCAGTCTTTGTTGCCACCGTCATAACGCCCATGATTAACACACACACACACACACACACACCAATCAAGTTAGGATGGATCTGTCAAATCTCCTCCAAAACACAAGAATGAATCTGAATGTGTTTGTTATTGCATTCATGTTGGTGGGGATAGAATAAGAGGATATTACGCACAGCCTACTACCGTCATTGTGCATGCGTAATTTGTATACATGTCCTTGGACGCATTCATGAATTTTCATGCCACTGTGGGACAAAACAGACAAACAAGAACGAGACGATACAGAACTCGAATAAACGAGCAAGGCAAGCATCAGTCGTGTTCCCACCCCAAGAGAAGATGCTTGTAAAGGCGAATAACCGCTAAGAATGGTTATTCCGCCGGGGGAGCAGATGTCAAGTCGCTGGTTTTCCGGAGTTGGTCTATCCTGAAATCTTTGTTTCAAACACGGAAAACCTCGAAAAAGACAACAAAAAAAGCAGGGGAAAAGTTGGGTAGTCCACTACTGACCACTACATCAAATCCTCAGAAAACAAGACAATTAAAAAAAAAAAAAAAAAAAAAAATCAGTGAGGCACCGCATCCACAGAGAGTACTTGACTACTAGTGATGCTGGAGACAGGCACAACAACAGGATACTTCTTGTTGCTCACATTCATTCGCTTCATTTCGCGGCTTCCGAAAATATCCAAGCGTGCAGGACGGCAAAGGGTCGATAAAAACGCCCATCAGAGTTGCTGTGGCCGAGAGACGACGTCGGGAGACGGTAAAACGGACGCCGTGTGTCGGAGTGCTCCCTTTGGCATCCTGCTGTCTCTGCGAGCCGACCGAGCTCTGGGACGCGCAGTAGCGTGAAGGTGGCAAAAATAGAAGCGCGACTACCGGGAAGTATTTTCAAAATAATACAGAAACGTCAGCTGCAGCTTGCCGCACACTTGACGATACGCTTAGGAAAATTAATAAACAAAGAAAAACTAGAATTCTACTCAAAATCATCGCTTGTCACGACTACAGTTACTCGCATTTGCTTTAATATGAGTGTGTTTTTACAGCTTTCCCCTTCGTACTCACCTCGACTCCCCTGAAATGAAGCTCTTACGTTGAAAACAGCACTTCCGGCCGCGCTCTTCGCTCTTATCTTATCGTGTCCGCGTTGACGGAGGTGACAGAAGCCGTGGATGCTCTTTCTGCCTCCTCTCTCTCCTCCGTCTCCCTCCTCTCCGGTGGACAGACTGAGCTTCACCCTATTCCAAAAAAAAAAAAAATGTCAACGGACCGTGAAGTCAGCAAGTGTGCTGCCGTGAAATGACCAAATAAAAGTAACGCTCGGCGACGTTACCGTTACACACACTCAGGTAACGTTACTCTTCATTCCCCCTCAACACACACACACATATAGGAAACACTAAAAAAAGTTGAATTAGCCACTTTAAATTAGCAAAAAAATACGTTAATGTGCGTTTTGTTTTTGTTTTTAGCAGAAACTAGCTAGCTAATGAGGAACCGCACGTGCTGGAATTTTGACCTAGCTTAACTTTGCATCTCTGCTGAAGTACTTTACGTTTTAAAAATACTTGTTTCTGCTTCCAAAGCGGATAAATTCCTACTTTATAATGGAGTAATGAGTTACTTTTAGGAGTACCCTAGTGTCCCTTTTGCATTTGGGGAGCAGCAGCCAGAGGAGGAGGAGGAGGAGGGCCTTGAATTAATTGCTTTATCGATAAATGTACCTCTGCTCTGCAGCCTCTGGTTATTCGCGCTGGAAGTTTAAGTGCATTGGATTTGTACTAAACGGAATTGATTACTGTGCTGTTCTTGTGAGGAGGAAACGCTGAACCATATATTTTTCTGCCCCCCTCCCTTTCTCGCTCTCAGCGTCGAAGCATTTCTCCGAATCTGATGGAGAGTTTGTGGGAATGTGAGGTTTGGAACTGTGATCGAGAAAAACATCCCCAGATCATATTTCTTGTAGGATTTTTTTTTAGCATCTTACTGAGCTTTCAGATGCATTTTTACACCTTTCACAACAATGTAAACAACATTAAATAACATAACACAGAGGCTCTGACTGCTTCACTAAAAGCAGAACAATATTGAACCTATCTAACTCATTCTCGGCACATTTGAGAAGCCTAGAGGACAAGTTACCACAAATGCAAATTATTTCCACGAGATAGAATAAATAGATGACTTACTGTTGACTTTCCGCTGCAGGTCTTGAGGATGTTTTGGGCTCTGCAGGCTGGCGCCGACCCATTTAAGGCAGCCTGGAGGCCCGTCGGCTCGCACCAGAGCAAAAAATTGAGACTCCGGAAAAGCTCAAGTGGAGCGCCTCGCTCCCAACAGTGTTATGACCTTTCTTTTACTTGATTGTTCCGCTCCCTCTCATAATACCCAGTCGGTTAATCACGAGTGCACCTGCGCTGGATTAATGCGCCGCAGTCTTTTCCAGAGGACTCGTTTCAACACAGCTTGTGATGGGATGTGGCAGGCCCAAAGTGTGCAAAAAGAGTTTGAAAGTTTGCTCAAGGGGCTTCAAAAAATATATAATCTGTGGGATGTGCCAGGGCTTCTGTCCAGCCCCTTAAATCATTTAGCATCACTCACCCAGTTGGGGTCCTGGAGTCTGAGTAAACACCTTTTGGTTGTGCGTTGGAGCATGTTTTGCAGGTTATTGGGTTCATTGACTCGCATGCAGGTGTACACGCTCGTGATCCCCCGAAAACGCCGGACCCCTGGAAAACAAATGCGAGTCACCGTGGTGACGGGATGCGATGCGTCACCTGGGAGACTAACTGTTGGCTTGGCACATGTCCACACGCACACAAACACAGCAGCTTCACAAATGGCTGGTGATGGATGTTTGTTTCTGCAAAACAGCTGGGAAGAAGCAGAGTGAGTGGGAGTCAGGGAAGACGGTGGGGAATGTCTATTTCTGTGTGCTACCCATTGGTACCACTACATTAACTCCTTAATTGAAATGCTTACTCTGAACTGGATTTTTTTTAGTTAGCTGGCTCAGAGATCAAGGGAATTGAAACTGCACATGGCTGGATTCCTTTAGGTTTTTAAGCCAGTGATGGGAAAACTCAACTTGATGTTGTCATTTAGTTGTGGATTGGTACAAAAAGGCTTTTTCTTTTTTCTCTCAAAACCAGATGCTCCGTGCAAATGTGCTGTAACATGGCAGTTTGTGGAAAAAAACTAAATGTGGGTATTCTTTTAATGAGGTGAACATCATAATATGAAACAAAATAGATATTTTCACATTAGAAAGCAGAATGTCATCCTTTACAGAAAGCTCCAAATTGTGTGTATAGTATTTTTAATGACAACAAAAGTCCAACAGCCATGAGTAAAGGGACAAGTGTTGTACTTTTTGAAGAAATAAAGCTGAATCAGACATTGCCAACACCATTGTCGTGAGCATAGACTATATATAAAAGATGGATTTAGCCTCCTGCTCCAGAAATTGAAGCCAACTCAGAAGTGACTCAAACCTGCATTCTTTCTAACAGCCAGCAGGGGGCGACTCCACCAGCCTCCAAAAGAACACCTAAAAGACCCTACTTTAAACAATTTCCTAATGAGTGTATGGTCTCAATTACTAGTTTGAAGCCTTCTTCAATACAGCATGGTGTTTATTTATTTATTTTAATTTAGCAAATGTAGATAAAGACATTAAAACAGCTTGTGCTTGATCGATGGCCAAAATGTGAACGCCAGTGCTTCAGAATACAACAACGGTTGGGTAGCATCGCTGGCTATCGTAGCAAGAAACTGCATTATTAAGCAGCACTTCTGTCAGTCCGTGCTTCAGCACAACCGCCTTTGGAGTTAAATGCAAACTTGAGCATGCTAATGTGCCCACAGTGGCAGTACTAACATGCTGATGTTTAGCATATGAACAATGGACTTACACTACAGCTGAGGCTCATCATTGTAAACCAAGGTATTGGGATTAAAATTGGAAATAAATTTGCTTTTGTTTTGGCACGTAACATGTGGATCTCTAACCATTATCCTAAGAGGAGCAGGAATATGTTTAAAAAATTTCAAGGCAATCCATCCAATAGTTGTTGATAGATTTTCCACAAAACCACATATTTCGACTTCATGGTAGTGGGGTGCATTCTTAGAGGATCGCTCAATAAGTTGTTCAAATATTTTTAGTGTGGTGGAGCGACTCACGAAGTTCGAGCTAACATGGCTGAAGACATTTCATTTCCACTTGGAGCGATGATTCATTCTTTCCTTCAAATATTCTTATAATTGGATGTGTGCGTTTCGTTTCTGCTCGCTGAGAAAATCCCACCGCTTGATCAACAACAAAGAAGACTTGAATTAACCCAGGCAAATCAAGAGATGTTCATATATACTGGCACCGGAGACGCACGGATGATGTGAATGTAATTCATTTGACTCCCTGTGATTTCCCGTCGGCGAGTCCTTGAATCCGAGGACGGCGCACTTTGACCTCGCCTCATTTCTTACCATAGCGTTCATTTCCATATAGCGCCCGATAAATTTGCATGAGCCGTAACATCCTTGATTACTCGAAGGGACATGCGATCACAAAGGCAATCGCTACCGTGACACCCTCACATCTGCGTCTTACTGTAAAAAGAAAAAAAAGATTTCCAGGTTCGTCAGTCGTGTATGAATAATCGGGTAA